CTCAGGCAGAAGATATGGGGAGAGAAAAAGGGTTGGGGCAGAGCAGAGGGTCTTATCTTTGTGCTCAGGGAAGGACTTCCGGGGGGTGTGAATGACCAATGAGGCTATTAGAATTGTATATGTACTTTCATGCATTTGTCTGGGGAGAAAGTCTTGCTTTCATTACTGATCCCCAAAACAAAATACGATAAAATAACTCATTTATCTGTCAGATAAAACTTATTTCTTCAGGGAAGACTTCCCTGATCCCAGAGTATAAGGTTCCCCTATAACATGTCTATGGTACCTTTCTTTGTAGCACTTGGAATAGTATAAAAGAATATATATGTGTTTTAACTAAAATCTGTCTTCCCTCACTAAGCTATAAGTCCCATAAAAGCAGTAACCACATCTGCTTTTGCTCATCAATAAATCCTTGGAGCCTGGCATACTGCCTAGGACATAAAAAGCAGGCACTTAGGATTGGACAGATTGAGGGTGGATGGATGGATGGACAAACAGAAGGAGGCAGGCAAGCAGGTATACATGAATGAACAAACTAAGAAATAAATTAGGGAAATATTATACCCTGATAACTATAATTCTCAAAAAAAACCAACCAAATCCCCCCAAACTGGAGTAGAGGTGTGTGGCTATATCACTCTAGGCTGCTGTCACCAATCAAAACCATATGGGCATCTTTGTTCCCCTCTCCCAAAAAGAATACACTTTCCTTCACCTTCACCCCACAGCATGTTGCTTGTACCTCAACCTAGTATTTATTTCATCTACAGTGGACTTAATTGCTTAAACGTCTACTTTTCCCACCAAATATGGACTCCTGGAAGGAAGGGGCCTGGTCCTTCTCAATTGAGTGTTCCTCGGCCTGCACTCTGCCCTATAAAAGTACAAATGTGCTGGAGGCCTTAACACAGGTCAACCCACTCTTACCCTCAGCCAGCTTGGCTCATGCAGCTTTATACTTCCACCCTCACCACCCATAGCCACAGCAAGGGTGCCCGATCTAGCAGGTGAAAATATAGGACACACAATAAAAGCTGAATTTCAGATAAACAATGAACAACTTTTTTAGCCTAAGTATGTCTCATGTAATATGTGAGACATACTTATACTAAGAAAAAAAGTACTCATTGTTTATCTGAAATTCAAAATTAATCGGACCTCTCCTATTTATCTGGTGACCCCAACCCAGGGGAGCCAGTAGTAAAGAGTGTGAGTGGTGGGGTAGAAGGGGAATAAGAACAAGAATACCCAGATGCATGGTCTGCCCTTATGTGCGAAGGCTTCAGAAAAGGGTGGAATGGGCAATTACCGGGTTATCTGCGGTTTCTATCCCCCAACACCTTGAATAGCTTCCCAGTACTCCACCAGAGTTCTAAGTACCCTGTAGAGGATACAATAATGCCACCAGTCACATCAAAGAGACACTAGCTCTCCTCCAAGCATGACCTCTTAATCTTGCCTCCCCTCTGCCTGCTGCCCCCTCAGGGCCGGTTGCCCTGGTATGTGCCTAAGATTTTTCATTCCCAAAGATCTCCTGAGAGCATCACATGCAGAGCAGGTATGCCCTGGAGGAAGCTTTGAAGATGATAACCAACCCAAAGTGATGCTTGGCTTCAAATCTTAGTTTGCACATGGGCTAGGGACATGGGGGCTATGCTGATGTGGAAACTGCAGTGGAGAGAGATGGAAAAACAAAGATCTATGACAGCATCCTTCAAATGCTTCCTGGTTGTGGCCATAGAGACTGAGGGTAGGGCATGGCTGTCCATCTCCAGGTTTGCTCAACAGAGGGAAAAGAACACTGGAGGTACCTGTGCTATTCCAAGTGCAATTGGATCAGCACACACCCCATGACCCTCAGCCCAGTGCCAGAAGAGGTCAGGACCGGGTGGTATCACTTTGTATATGATTCCCCAGGTTACATTAAAGAGGTAGGAGGCTAGGGCCTCCTCATAGTACCCTGACCTCCACCAGGAGCAAAAGACACCATTTGAAGAGGCAGAAATAAGAGAGGCAAGTATGGGGAGACCCACGCTGGGGTCTCCAATTTGTGGGAGGGAGGGGACCTAAGGGCCCACTGCTATTATCTGAATACTATGTAAAAGCCCCCAAATGGTACTCAAGTAGTACAAGATGTGAATGTGTAGTTAATGATATAAATTGGTTCAGCTTAGCAGTTCTTTAATGGGGTTCACAGAGGGATCTGTGAACATCTGACACTGTAAATAAAACTGTACATATATGCCTTTTGGGGGGAGAGGGCTTCCACCAGCTTCACAAAGGGGTCTCTGGTCCCCAAACCATGAGTTGGTAAAGCCAGTTTAGCATCTTCCCCCAGGCTGGCTCAGTCAGCTCAGGACTTGCGGGGTTCCAAGGCAGGGCTCTGCCAAAAACAGGAGGAGCCCAACGACTCTGAGAGCAGCCACTTGTGGGCCACACCCCAGCCCACAGCACACTCCCATCCTGCCCCAGTGGCAAGCTCCAGAGAGAGCCTGTGGCTTACAGTACTCTGAACGCTCTGGCACAGGCCAGGGCACAAAGCGGCTTCTCAACAGAGTGAAGCCAAGTGAGGGAAACAAGCAAGCAACACCATGAGAGGAGGCACGAGGCTCCCAGACCCCGTCAACTGCAGCCCAGCATCCTTGTTACCTGCTAACACTACTAGACCACCTGGTGGGTAACTCATTAGATAACCACATGTCAGGGAAAATGGGGATTTACTCATTGAATCCTCACAACAACCCTACTGGGCGGGTATTATTTAAATCTTCATTCTACAGGTGAGAAAACCGAGCCTAGAGAAGTTATGGAACCTGTCTGGAGTCACATGGTCATAAAGCCAATAACCAGACCCAGGCAATGTGTCTCCAGTGCCTAAGCTCTAAGTCACCCTCTCACATAGCCTCTAAGAAAGCTGAGTGCTGAGGACGACCAGTGACCAGGGACGGAAGTAGCAATGCCATTTGTTCTTTCACCCAATCAGTGACCCCAATAAGTAAGAAAGGCATTGAAAATGCACACCGCTAAAAGTCATCGTGTCATGAGGTCTGTAAAATGGGTTCACAAGGATGCCACTGTTGGCTCAAGGTTAAATTCCACAGAACCATCCTAACCGCTTTCTAACCTGCATCTACAGGGTGGTGATGACCCACGTGGACAGGCCTGGCCCTGCTCATGGCTCAGGCCAGGACGTCGCACAAGCGGCCCCATGCCATGTGTCCCGTCCTGACACACAGGAAATGAGCCCTCCAGGCAAGGGAGAAGTCGGGGGAGCAGCATTCCTTTCTTGTGAGATTCTGAAACTAGTGAGGGGGTGAGGGAACAAAACGGAAAGGAGGGAAGAAAAGTTCTGATTTGAGAGTTTCCGCTGGCTCTCAGACCCCCTCTGGCTCATCAATGAGTCCTTTCAGGGTTCCCTCTCCCCAACTACGGTATCATTTCCTGTCCAGCACACTATACCCATTGATGGGGTATCAGCAAATCCCACCAGTTTATGCCGGAAGGACCTAAGGAGACTGGATAGGAACTGAGGGGTAAAGAGGAAGAAAGCAGGAGGGGTAAGGAGTGGCTTTCAAACCCACATTCAATGGGATATTCAATCACATATTGTTGGTTTAAGAGCGGATTTGTAATACAGGAAGCTGGCTCATCGTTGGCTCATTTCATAGGTAGAGCAAGGACAATGGGCTAAAATCAGGTATTTGGGGGCAAATATGCAGGCATGGCTCTCTAAGATGACTCACCATCAAAGGCCTACAAAGGAAGGAGTGGACCTAGGCTGTGAGTGCCAGGAATGGGTGTCTCTTCTTTGTGTTTTTATTGGCCTAAACCAGGTTCATAGCCCTAAAGAAGAATCTAGAACCTCTTGGCTTTCCCTTCCTGGTACAGGTTGCTGCCCAACTCAATGATTCTGCCTTGTCTGGTGCCTGCCTCTGATACACAGAGGTGGGCCCCCTAGTGGCCATTTCTGTGTTACATCACCCTCTACCTACCCTGGGCCATCCTGATTGGTCCAGAGAGGGTACCAAGTTGGGCCAATCAGAATCTTCCCTGGGATTTTTCAATTTGGAACTGGGAGAAAGTCAGCCTCTGCTGTTGGGAACCACAAGATATGAATTTTGGGAGCTTTGACAGCCAAGTTCCTCAGGATATGAGGTAGCAGAAGCTGAAGACAGTGCCCAGAGAGAAGCAGAGATAAGACAGCGGGAAAGCAACCCTGGTTTCAGGTGTTCCTGGAGCCCACTGCCTTGCTCCCCTTTTCACCATCTGGTTGACTGCATAAGTTTCCCTGGTATATCCTTCCAACTAAGTCTCATTTGTGGCTAAGCTAGTACGAGTGTAAAACTATCACTTGTACCCCAGAGAGGCCTAAACAGATTAGTTGGCATCAAGGGAGGTGTTTGCAATTGAGTTGTGGGATCCAAACTACCATCCCCCATGTCAACACGTCTGTATATATTAGAGAGACACAAATACCATGCACGTGTACAAACAGGGCAGTAAAAGCCTTATTCGGTTAGACAGACACAGTGGTATGCCCAGTTTGTGTCTGTAGTTGAAGAAATTGCTTATTTTCTGTTTCGGTCTTTTCTGTATGTTTGCTTTTCTTTGCCTGCAATGATGTGGTGGCTTGTGTCTCACCCTAGATGTTTACAGACACGTCTGCTCATATACACAGCACCCACAATCATCCTCTGCCTCTCCACCCTAATTTCCTATCCCCAGGCGAAGGACGGTGACAAAGCACGATTATTGAGACCATCTGAGGAAGCTAACAAAGCCCCAAAGTGTCTGCCTGCAATATCCTAGACTGAGCCAAGCCCAGCTCGACCATCACAGTTCCCTCATCTGTCCCTCTGCTCTGTCACCTAGGCTCTGACCCTGAGAGGTCTGTCAGGGGTTCTCCAGATGAGTGAGGATATGAGTGAGGCCAGTCCACCAGAGACTTGGGCCACTGAAGGTAGAACTGGGCACCATTTGAGCTCAGACCAACTTACCTGCAGGTCAAAGAACTTGCTGTACCTCCGGTAGATGGTCTGGGACGTGGAGTCGGACCAGGTCACATTGATGATGTATACCTGTGATGTAAAAACAAAAATAAGAGCAGGTGACTGGGTGATTAAGGCTGGGCTTCATTCATGGATGGTGGAGGCATCATTCAACAGGACTGTGGTACTCCATGGCTAGGACCATTCTTTTTCCCATCTTTGTCTCCAGGGCCTAGCACAGTGTCAGGTACACATGGATGCTACACATATATGTTTAAATACACACACACACACACACACACACGTATCTAGAAGTATATTCAATAAAATACTAAAGATGATTTTCAGGAGAGTAGGATTACAAGTGGTTTTAATTTTCTTTTCTTGTATATGCATTTTATACAATGAACATGAAATTGGAGATGTCAACAAAATTTAAGTAGCTAATTTCTACTGGTTCTCAAACTTTAGAGTGAACGAGAGTCCGCAAGGGGGCTTTCACAATTGCCAGGGCCCCACCCTCTGAAATTCTGCATAAATCGACCTGGGTTTTGGGGGCTCAGGCATCTACACTTTATTTTATTCAATTTTAAATCTTTATTTTAATATAGTAGTTTCAGGTTGACAGCAAAATTGAGCAGAAAGTACAGAGTTCCCATATGCTCCCACACATGCACAGCCTCACCCATGACCAACACCCTCCACCACAGAGGTACATTTGCTACAACTGGGCATCTATAGTTTTAACAAACCATTCCAGGTCATTCTGTCACAGTTGATCCTCAGAACTGACTCTGAAAACCGTTCGGGAGACCATAGCATTTCAGAGAGGCGTGATTCATCTCCGTATCCCTAAGTCTTATTAGCTCAGTGCCTGGCACAAAGCAGGTGCTCAGAAAACATTTTGTTCCATTGAACAACCAAGCTGACCCTCTGGATGAGAGGTAGTAGGTTTGCAGGAGAGATGTTAGCATATAGAAGACTGGTAAACTTTTCGGAAATGAAGACATTTCCAATGTCACTCCAGTTCCCAAGCTCAGTCAGGCTCTCCAAGGCTGTTGCCTCAGGCGGCTCTGGAAGGCCCTTGCCTAGGAGGTGGGTGAGATCACTGGCTGGAGAAGGAGAGAAAGTCCCCTGCCTACTCCATCTGGCCTACTGCTCCCACCACTTTGGTCCCTTTTATCTGAACTCACACCAAAGACACGCCCTCCTGGGAGCGGCCTCCGTTAAAGGGAGGGGTCCCCTCGCACAACCTCATGACCATTCTGCTGAACACCCCCTCTGGTGCCTGCTATGATGTCTGCAGGTACAGGGTTAAGGAAGAGCACTGACTTGGCATGGGTGACACCTCTGCCTTGCTTCCTCCCTCAGAAGACACTGGGCGGCTGTAGTCAACAGCAGTGGTTCCCTCGCCATGACACCTATCAGAATCACCTTGGGAGCTTCATAAAAATTCAGATTCCCAGCTTCTGCCTAATGATTCTGATTCAGTGGTCTAGGGGGAACTCCACTAGTAAGGAGAACAAAGTGGGCAGAGAAGCCAGGGGTCTCAGCCACTGTGAGAAGGAAGGAACGAGTGTAAAGAGGAGTAGCATTTACAGGTACACATCAGGGTGGCTGACTTGTGCATAGAGCAGGGCTGTCTTAGTCTGCTCAGGCTGTTACAACGAAATACCATCGCCTGGGTAGCTTAAACATTTATTTCTCACAGTTATGGAGGCTGGAAGTCCAAGATCAAAGTCCCTGGTTAGGTCCCACTTCCTAGCTTGCAGATGGCCACCTTCTTGCAGTGCCCACATGCAGTGGAGAGACGGGGCTTTGGTCTCTTTCTGTCCTTATAAGGGCGCTCATCCTAGCATTGGGGCCCCACTCTCATGCTCTCACCTAAACCTAATTACCTCCCCAAGGCCCCAGCTCAGATACCATCACACTGGGGATTAGGGCTTCAACATGTGCACTTGGGGTGGGGGGACAAACATTCAGTCCATAACAAGAGTTTTGCAAACAGGGGTGGGAGGCTTTCTGTTTGGCTGCTCAGCTAACAGCCAAGGAAACAAGCTCTGAATCCAGTCCCTTCTTCCCTCTGATTGCTAAGTCACAGAGTTAGCCTCATTCAGGGTGGAGTGTTTATTCTGAAATGCACCCAGGAGAGGGCCATAAAGCAAAGCAAATAGAGCCAAGTGATGCCAGCCTGAGATGGGGGATTTATGACATGTTTTATGTGATCCTGATAAGAAAGAACATGAAATAAAAGGCCACCCTTATCCTCACAAGCCCAAAGTAAACCACTGACTATTATTATAATAGGAATATGCTGTGTTTTATATCATGTAAACATATATGTCATACAATAAACTGTAGAAATCAATTAGGTACTGGTTACTACATGCCAGCACAATGTAAAACATTTATATGCATTAGCTCATTTAATCTTCATTGTTATCTTCATTTTTGTACAGGAGGAAGCCGAGGTTCAGAGAAGCAAAATTACTTACCCAAGGGGTCACATAGTTAGCAAGAGACAGAGCAAAGGACTTGAACCTATGTCTAGCTGAGTCCAATCCCCATATTTTTAACTACATTGGACTATCTCCTTATGTGTAAATTTAGGGATGTGGATATTTAAATCAAACTACTTGATCAGAACTGAATGACACATTTTTAAATCAAGCTGTAGGCGGTCTGAAGAGTCTGAACACTCCTGGCTTAGGGGGTGAGCCTAGAGGAACATGGGGGAGTCATGTCAATTCTGAGAGCCTGAGACCAATAAGAGACAGAACTTGGGGCCCAGACAGAAGTCAACAGATAGGAATGCTACAAAACCAGACCGACACAGAGGAAACCTTCACATACAACCACAGACTGCGGCAGGATGCTCTGGGGTTTTCACAGGGGTCAAACCCACCCCATCCCCCCTGCTGACTCCCAGCTCCTGGACTCCCACATCTTGCCAGTTATATCTCCCCTCCCACCCGCATCTGCCCTCCCAACAGGTCCCAGGCAGGGCGCAGATGCTGTGCACGACAGGTGCTGCCTTCCTGACCTCTGCCCAGGCAGATGCATGGTTAAGAGGCCCCAAGTGGCCGTGCCCTCCCAAGAGACAGTTTGCACTTGCCTGCAGGCCATTAGACAAAGCCTTTCTCCCTGGCCAACCAAGCGGGGCCGAGGAAGGGCTTCATTGGGACTTAACATGACCTGTGCTCCATCCTCTCTAGTAATTAGGGGCTTCCCTTCACCTCCCAGAGAGAATTAATCACAGGTTCACTGCCTCTGGCAGCTGGGAGGCCTCTCCTTTTGCAGAGGAGGGACCTAGGACCCAGGATGGTGATTTGCCAAGGAAGAGGCAGATTCTGGAGTGAGCCACACCTGGGTTTCACGCTTAGGACCCTCCTCATTGGCTGAGACCTCAGCCCAGCCTCTCTGACCCTCAGGCTCCTCTATTCCATGGGCACAACCTTTAGGGTTGCCCAGCCTGATCCACTACCCTGGTGATCCTTGCAGGTGTGTTTCCCCCACCTTCAGTGGCAGAGCTGGCACAGGAACCCAGACCTCCCAATTCCCAGTTTAGGATGCAACAGCACATGACCAGAGCATGCGTCCGCCTCCCCCCTCCCCCCTGCGGAAAAGATCTTTCCCTTTTACTCTTCAAAATAATTGAAAAGTCACAGAGAGTGGTCTCTGTCTAATCCTCGACCTGAGCCCACACCAAAGACCTGCCCTGTGGAGAAATAGCCAGAAGCCAGGGGTAAGAGGAGAGCTATCCTCGGGCTCAGCTGGTTAAGAGCACGAGCTCTGAGCAACAGGGTTACCAGTTCGATTCCCACATGGACCAGTGAGCTGCACCCGAGCTGAGCTGCCACTGAGCGCCAACAGGTGGCAGGATGACTCTGTGGTTAGAGTGTGCGCTCTTAGCAACAAGGTTTCCTGTTCGACTCCTGCATGGGATAGTGGCTACTCCTACCTGCAATTAAGATCGAACACAGCACCTTGAGCTTAGAGGCCACAGCTGCCAATGGGTCAGAGACCCTTCTGACGAGCCCAGGGATCCAAGGACAGACTCCAGGCCCCTTTCTCTCATGTGAGGAGGAGGCGCCTCTGCTTTCTTCTAAACCTTGAACATCCTAGATTATCCCTCCAGATGAGCAATGGATACATAAAATTCCAGCCCAAACCACACTCTCCGCGCCTGCTCCCCACATCAGACTTTCTTAAGCTTCCCTGAGCTGGCTCTGCCAACACGGGAAACCTAGCGATAAACCACAAAGAAAGAGCAGGTGGAGGGGAAGGGGGAGAGAGCAGAGGTCATCTGAGAAAGACAGCTCTGTTTACTGGGCTTGCGTCAGGGGCACAGATAAACTGCTCTGGTCACAGGAACGGCCAAGATAACATTACCCAGCAGCTGGGTCTCCAGAAAGGTTTGCAATTAAACATCCTGCTTCCACACACTTTACTTGGGGTAATGTTTCCCGGGTGGGGTTTCCCTTCCTTCTGGATTTTAAAAACCCATGGATTCTATTTCCCTGTCTCTGGCCATTTAGGCAGATGGCAGGCATCTAGGAAGCTTCACTATAGAACAGTGACTGTGTCCAGGTCCCCACAGAGGAAGCCCCAGAGTTTCAAATCCTCCTGCCACGCTCAGCCTCTACAGAGGAGGATCGCCACCACAGACACAGCTAAGGAAGCTGCCACCAGACGCCCGCGCGACGGCTGGGTCCCACCAGCCCACCCACTCTGAGGCCATGTTGGGCTGCCTTCCGTCTGCTCAGCTCATTAAGCCCAGAAATGTCGGAGGCTTCAGAGACTTCCATAGCTTCCAAGTCTTGCTCTTTTCAACAAGAAAACAGCCTTGATGCAAATCAGACCCGAAGCCCAGCCCAGTTCCTGTGCAGGGATGTCCATGATCGGACGTGGGCTGCGACCAATTAATAACCCAAAGTTATGGCCCAACCAGTCCTGGAAGGCCTAGGACCTGCCTGTGTTTAATTAGAAAGTGCCAGTAAGAACTCGCTGCTCCCTTTGCTGAAGGAAAGGACAGAGACAAGGAGTTAGAAACTGTGGAGGAAATCGTGTCTCTTTGCGGCACTATGGCT